AAAAAAAAAAAAAAAAAAAAAAAAAAAAAAAAAAAAAATGTAAATTTAGGAATTTAAACAATTTGGCAAAATTTCAACCATTAGTTCTTCAACTCCTTTTGCCTTATTCTTTCTTTCTTGTTTGGGGACTTCATATTGTCCTTGAGGTTCTGTAAATTTTTGTCAACATATTTTTTCTCTGTTTTTCATGTTGAATGATATTAAGTTCACTAACAGGTTTTTCTGTTCAATCCCTTCTTTTAAACCTACTCGATGAAGTTTTTTGTAACAGATATTGTATTTTTAAATTCTAATTTCTTTACTGAGGTATCCTATCTTTTTGTTGATTGCAAACATTTATTTTAATTACTCATCTTTTTTTCCTCCAAGTTTCTTTAAACTCTTCTACTGTCCGTCAGTCATGTCCCTCTGAAGACTGGAAGCTGCATGGGGAAAAATGTTACTGGATTGCTAAAACAAAGGATTCTTGGAACAAAAGTCACAAGGACTGTGCCATGAAAAAGTCACATCTCATGGTGATTCAAGACTTTACTGATTTGGTGAGATTTTACACTTAGAGTTTATGCCATTCCCCACATTTGCAATGAGATGTTTTTTGCCACAAACTTGGCAAATGCCTATAAACTTCATACGCTATTAATTATACAAATATCTGCTGAATGAATTGTTGCAGTATGTGATTACTTCAGGCTTCTTTTTAGCCAAGAAGAGGGAAAATTTATTTGGTGTTATATACCTAAGTTCTTCTCCACAAAGAATTCCTAGTGCTTTCAGATTCCATTTTAAAGTGTGAGAAATTGGCTATCTTATTCACCTACTGTGTCTATTTCAATGCTCACAAGGGCTACAGCCAGATGTCATGACAACCAAAATGAAGGAAGATGTGAGAAAGGAAATATAGACTCGTCCTTCTTCCTTAGCTTTAGTTATGTCCTGAGAAAAACTAATATTTGTCTAACTCTGGCTTAATTTAAATTGAAGTTTTGCTAAATGAAGTTTGGACACTACTTTAAACCTTTAATTGACAAAGTCAATATATAAACCACAAACATCACATAAGGGTTCTCAGCATGAGACTTAGTATGTTAGTATCACAAGCTATGTCAGTAACCCAGTTTCTGCAAACCCAGTGGCTAGCAGTGCTTTGCAACCCTCTTTGAACATCAGCTATCTGAGAGGATTTACAAAAGAGCAGTTGTTGAGACATCTGATGAGAAAAAAAAAGAACACAACAGCTTTGAGTTTCACCAAGAAATGCAAAAGGAGAAGCAAACTATATTTAGTGTAATTGAAGTAACCCCAAATAGCAAACTGCAAGACTCTGTCAGGTGGCAGCAAAATATGAACTAAATCAATAATGAAATTAAGAATTAAAAAGAGACCTTTGTTCCTTTTTAAGTATAAAAAGAAACCAAAAAGAAACAAGAAATAGCATAGAATTTGTCCACAGGTGTCTCCATTTTCAAAGCTGTCCAGGAAAAGTAAAAAACAAATAAAATATGTTTTAAAAAGGGATGCATCTTTCAAGATAAAATGGCAAGAAAGAATTATTAGTTCATCTAAGGTACTCACTAGTCATTACTTCACAAAAAAGAAAAAGAAAAAGGAAAAAAGAAGGATGAAGGAAGGAGAAGAAGGAGAGGGAAAGGGGAAAATGAAATATATAAAAGCAAGGAATACTTATAGCTTTCATTCTCACGATGCAGCTATCTCAAATGTTGCTATCACTTTTACTATGGGAAATAGCTGAATTGACTTCAAATTCTCAACTTTTTTCAAATCCTTGGAGAGTGAAATTTGTAGAACAACTAACTTGTCAAAATCTGTGGTGACAGGCACATGCAGAAGAGAAGAAACACATCCTCACTTTCTTAGGATAGACAAATCAGACACCAGACACCAGCAAGAATTCAATCATAATAACTGAAAAAATGGATTAAGGCTGGGTGTAGAGTGGCAGAACGGTTTGAAGCTCCTAGGATCTGCAGAAATTAGAAAATTCTATCACCTCTTGCAGGCTATTTCTCTATTTCTCCACTAAGCACTAGCAGAAATAATTGGAGAAAACCATAAGAGCATGTCCACTGTGATGCAGACCTGGAAAAAGAAAACAGCAATAATAAGGAAGCAGTAAGATATTTCATAGAGACCCTTCTCCCCTATCTGCTATGGATCAAAATACTTAATGTATGTGCTGAGGAAAAGGACAGCAAACATTGCTGCCCTTAGGAAACTGTTAAAACATCATCCTGGGGGAGAAAGAAAGGGCCAGGAGAAAGAATCTACCCCTATGAGGGGCAGGAAAGCACACAAGGCCCACGGCCACACCCAGAGTAGGGGCAAAGTACTGAGAAGGCCAGACACTGAAGATACAGGCACTCAGTGTCTAACACTAGATCATAATCAGAACAATAATGATTTAATTATTTCTGAAGGAAAACCAATATTTAGCTAACTCTGGCTTAATTTAAGTTGAAGTTTTGCTAGATACAGGTTAGACACTACTTTAAACCCTTTAAATGATAAGGTCAATATGTATGCTAAATCACAAACATCAAATAATGGTTCTCAGCATGAGAATTAGTAAGTTAGAATCACAAGCTATGTCAGGGTCTCAGTTTCTGCAAACCCAACAACTCCAGTGCTTTACAGTCCTTTCCTTCACTGCCTTCTACTACCAAGATAACATGTTTCAAAAAAGAAGTAAAAAGGAATGCTACCGGAAGAGGAACAGGAGAGGAAAAAGAATGTGCAGAGATCCTCTCTGAGGACCCATGCGAAGGGAAATCTAAAAAGGTCAATATCAAGAAAACATTCCTCTGACAAACAAACCCCACATGAAACACCAGATGTCATTACGGGAATGTGAAACAATGAGGACAGTAAGAACAAATAAATGAAAACAGTAGATTTGGTGAAAGAAGAAAACATCTGTCTTGTTCAATAATTGTGGTTCTTAGTTACATCCAGCTGAACTTTTTTCTCTGTCAATAATAATCAGTCAATTGTTTTATATAACATATATTGTTCTCTTTAGAGTTTCCCATGGCTGAATCTAGATCCTTCAGCCTCTTATTGGATTGGAGAAAAGTCATGGACCTGGGGGTACCAAATCTCTTTATTGTCCAATCTGTGAGTTTATTGTTTTGTGGCTTGTTTGTGGTTTAATCCCTTATCGTGTCACAAGAAAGGAATGTCTGGTATTGTTGAGCTTGAACTGAGTGAACAGGTCTAAATTTTCTTATTCTTAGTTTGATACATAATTTATGTAAAACAATTAACAGAGAGTTGAGAAACAGAAGGAATCTTACTTTCTGTACTCAGATGATTTATATGTAAAATCACTGCTGCATTTTTATTTTATCATTTTATCTAAAAGGTAAATTATCAAATGTAAATCTCTTAGAAGAGCGGATGTTTAGTTCACAAAATATAAGATTTCCTCATTTCTAATAGTGATCAGTAAGTTTTAAAAGAAAAAAAATCAGAGGTGACATTTTAGTATTAACCATGTGTACCTCTAACTAATGCTCATTAACTATTTACTACTCTGGAGAGAGGTTTTTGAAAAATAAAACTCGGAGTGGGAAGAATTACTTTACCTACTAAATTGTTATATATCATTTACATCATTTTCATGACTGTGTTTTTATTAAAAATTAGAAATTATTTTTGAGGTCCTTTTTAGGTTCTGGATATATGCATATTTTTATGGCTGGTATGAAAATAACCATTTTATTTCTTTCTATAGGTTCTCAATAAATAAAAACAGACCACACACCCGAAGCATGAAATGTGCCCAGCTGTCTGGCAAAACTATTGCTCCAGAAAATTGTGAAAATGTTAATCAGTGGATTTGTGAACTATAATACACTCTGCAAAAATCCAGCCTTCATTTCTGAGACTGAAAGACAAGTGCCACATGAAGTTTGAACTCAGATCACAAGAAAGTTCAGAGAGTTTATGTGTCCCAGAGAGCTTTGTTTGTGTGTGTGTGTGTTCATTTATGATCATACAGGACTACTTCTCAGGGGTGTGAGAAAGGTGATAGAGAAAACAAAATATTATATAAAATGAGTGGGCATGAAGAATATTTTTTCACTTGGATTATTAATTCACTTATCAAATTACCATAGTCTTGCTTGTACATAGTTTTGCTTGTATTTTTGAAACTTCAATCTCCGTTACCTTCCCTACATATTCCCTCTACAATAATTGGCTAATCCCTGGCGGTAGTGGGAAACTATCAGGGGAGGGGGTGTGGGATTGGCAGCTGAGGGAAACTGCTAGGGGAGGGAGGGGCATACCTCATCAACAAGGGTACCTGCATAATCATTGGTTGTCGCTATACCTAACCCTGAATTGTACCCCTCATCTTTATAATAAGAAAAAACGAAATAAATAAATAATTGGCAAATCCCTTAACTAAACTCTGCTAATCTTTTCCAGTCACACAGTTATAATTGCCACCTGTGAAGCAATGCATGTCAAATTTATATCTCTCATCCAGATCTTTCCCTGATCGTCAAACCTATATACCATGCTGCCTATTTAACATGTCAAATCTAAAATCTCAAAGGTACCTCAAACTCAATGTATAAGTAATTCATTAACTTTCCTCAGAAAAAAAATTTACTATTTCATAGCTCAAGAAATGCCATGTCATACAAGAAAATTATGCAATCTAAAAACCAGTCGTCATCTCGTTATCAATCTCTCTCTCACTTCCGGGCTGCTTCTTACTCTCCCTCACATCACCCAAGTCTTATGTTTTTTTACTAAATATCTTTCAAGTTTGTCTTCTTCTCCCCATTGTCATGTTTGTAATATTGACATAAAGATACTAAGATATTCAATAACTGCAATAACAAGGTCTTCCTGTTTCACTCTTACTTTTTTTCAATCTCTACCATGAAACCTGAGTGATATTCAAAAAATATACTGACAATACAACCTCCTATTTTAAAGAATTTAATGTCTTCCTTAGACTAATAGACTCTGTAACATTACCTTACAGTCCCTGTTAGGTCTAACTCTTACTTATTCAGTCTCTTGTGCACCAAACTCACAGTGACTCTCATTAGACTAGCTTTAAGAACTCAGTTGTGGTTGGGAGCAGTGCCTCATACCTGTAATTCCAGCACTTTGGGAGGCCAAGGCAAGAGGGTTGCTTGCGCCCAGGAGTGTAAGACCAACATGGGGCAACATTAAAAAAAAAAAAGAAGAAGAAGAACTCAAAGAACTAAAGTAGTCATGTCCTGTTTCACCACAATGCCTTAACATAAGTTTTTCCCTATACCTGGAATTATTTTTCTTCTTTTCTCCATCACGTTAACTCCCAAACATTCTTTATATCTCAATTTTCAAGAATACTGGAGTTCTAACACAAAGTCAACTCCCCCAACACTACTCCTTTCCTTAGCACTTATTACATTTTCAATTTTACATATACCATTCTTTGAGTTAATATTTGGTTACTGTCCTGCACTTTCAGTTGACTGTAAATTACATGAGGTTCCTGTGTCTGTTTTTATATTTCTAGAGTCTTTGAAAGTAC